TTGTAAATATAATTATGCTTGAGCACTATTACGATCACTTGCTAATCACATTGAGATTGACGCTTGAGAGCGACCATTATTATATTACAAATTTTCTGACTAGTGAATTCGAATAATCACGACTCCAAAGGATCAGTAACCATTGATATTACTATCGTCATAAAAATAATAAAAATAAAAGCTAATATCGGAATAATTAAATAGCAAATTATAACATCAACATTTTTTAAAATTATTATTATTATTATCTTTTTTAAAAAAAAACTATTAATCTTTCCTTCAGATCGAACAGTCTCAAACTTTAATGAAAGTTCGAGTAAAGAATATATCCTTCTGGTTGAGAAAGAAAAAACTATTTATACTCGTTTTAAAAAGAAAAATAATCCAATTATCCTAAGAAAAGCATTTGATTATAATGTGACTAATAAAAATGTCGTAAAGAGCCTAATATAGCCAAAGTTAAAGTTATCCAAGTGTTAAACAACATATTCTGATTATGGCATATAATACTACCAACGATATCGTCAGAATTTTCGATTATTCTAATAACATGTAAATAGTTTAATATTCATCGTTTATTCATATTCGTCCTGATTAAAATTACCGTATATACTACATCACATTTGCGAAGAAGCGAAAAAAATTAAGTTCATCATCGTTAGACGGCGGAAGGAAACTTGACATCAGAGGAGGAATGTATAAAATTGAAGTGCGCTTAATGTCATCGAGCACTAGATTTTATTTTCTACATAAAATTGTGCGCTTAACGAACATTTATTTATATAATCACTATAGCGCACATAAAATTTTAGCCAATGTTCATATGCTATATAGTGAACATAAATTAGAAATTGAATTCATTACGAAAAATAAACGAGTATTTAAAACCCGTATTTTTTATGGTTTGAATTCCGAATTAGAATATTAAATAATATACTCGACAAAATTAGTTCTTTCTACATAGTTAACAATTATGTATATATTTAAATAAGTATATACTTTAAATAAACACGTTCTAAAATAGGAAGTTGGATCATTAATTCAGAAACCTAATGTATTAAAGTTCACTATAACTGCAAAAGTGTAAAACGTTAATAAGATAGATGCTCTATACCATTTATCCCATTTTTATTCCATCTTGAGAAATACCGAGGAAGAAATATGTTTGCATAATTATTTAATTCAACAAATGAATCTTTTTTTAAGCTTTTTTTTTTCTAAATTTATAACATCAAACTCAATCGAAGTAAATATGATTAATAAGAAATTGATAAATTATATAAATTTATTTATGACTTAATAGATAAGTTAATAAGCCCTGAATCTAAAAGCATAAACAATAAATTAGTCGTTAATTATCGATAAAATTCCAACAAATTCTTCGGAGCACATATTTACCAGCAATGTTGCCCGATTTAACTTCTGCGCTAAATCGTTGAGAAATTTCTTCAACATCAATAAACTGGCTTGTATATACGCTATCTGAATTTTTTTGTGTTGCTATTGCTAGTTGTTTAATTATTTCATCTGCTTCCCAAAATCTATTACTTATTTCTGATTTCTCATCTAATTCTTCTGTTTCATCAGACATATCCATTTCGTCGTCTGTATCCATTTTGTCAGCCGTATCCTGTTCATTCATAAAATCATACCATTTTGAAAATTCATCAAAAAGTATTTTTGCGGTAGGCCGTTTTTGTGTGTTTGAATTCATACATGATTCTGCTAATTTGATATAGCAATCAGGTGTTCCTGGTGCAAAGTTTGGTCTTAATCCGCCACAAATATTTAAAGTTAAATCTTTACTAAACAAATAACCATCAAATGGTGGAATTCCAGTGGTTATTTCTGTCATAACAACCCCAAAACCATATATGTCAGCTGCTTGTGTATATTTTTCGCCTAACAAAATTTCAGGAGCAATGTAAGGCAAAACTCCATAGATTCCTTTTCTTGATGTAAATTCTTTATTATTTCGTGACAATCCCAAATCTGTAATATAAGACTTTATTATTTTTTCAAGCCATAGTTTCTCTTCATGTTGGAGAATATTACCACTATGAAAATCACAATGAATATATCCTGCTTCATGAATTTGAATTAAATCTTTTGATATGTCTATTAGTCGCAATAATTTATCTTTCCATGTAAGCTTTTGAAAATTTCCCCTCAAATATTGACGAAGGTTTCCACTATTTGCATATTGAAACACCATTAAATATTGGTTCGTTGCAATATTTTGTGTTAACCCATATATCTCAAGTTTACTCCCCGTCAATCTACACTTCATATGATTTTTAAACTTATTAAATAAAAATAATTCATGTAAATGCTTTTTATAGTAAATACGTAAAAATTAACCAAAATCAATTAACCTACATACTTCTTGCAAGAACTCAGTAGAACTTGTTTGAGAACCGGGTAAAGTTTTAAGAGCGACTATATTTGGTTTCGTACGTAACTGTATATAATTCTCTCCCTTATTAATGGCTTTTCGTTTGCCATCTAACCAGATTGCTGAAAATACATCTCCGAATCCTCCCTGTGCAATTTCTTGAATATTACTCAACCTGTCGAAAGGAATCCATTCAATTACTTTTTCATACTCTGTAGCTTCAAATTGAAATTTTATAATGCAACTATCAATATCATTATTCCCACTTGTCCACTCTTTAATCGCTTTCCAAGGATCACATAATTGACACCAAGCTTTTGAAGTATTAAAGCGTTTGCAAACCGTACATTTTCCATAATTAGATTTTCTTTTAAGAGCATATATATCATCATGTGTCTTAAATACTATCATAAATTCATTAGTAGTTGTATTCTGTGTAAATCCAAGTAATTTAAAATTATCGTTATTAGTTGACTGTACATATTCTTCAACCTTAAAAATAAATACAATAGAACTTATATAAATATAATCAAATAAATTTCTATTAATAATGCTATTAAAATATTAACTTACTTTCTTTAAGAATTCAATTGAATTTATTTGTAAGCTAGAAAAAGTTATAAGTGTAATCCTATGACAAAGTGTACGTGACTGTATGTGTTTTCCATAATCCTTAGAAACTGACCGTATACCATCTTTCCAGACTGCCGAAAATAATATATTTAAGTCTCCTTCGCTAATTTTCCGTATGTCTTCCAGTTTGTTAAATGGAATCCACTCAATAACCTCATCATACCTTGTAGCCTTAAGTTGAAGGCATTTAATATGTTCATCGATATCGTTATTTCCACTTGTCCACCCTTTTGTTGTCCTTAGAGGATCGCATGTTTGGCACCAAGCTGGAGAAGTATTGTAGTTCTTACATTGTGCGCATCGTTCTTCACGATAAAATTCATCAACTACTATCATATATTCATAGGTATATGGATTTTGAGTAAATCCAAATAATTTACAAGTATTAGTTGACTGTGTATATTCTTTGACCTTAGAAATAAATATGTTAGAATTTTATAAATATATTATTTATAGATATTAGCCAAACTTACTTTTTTTAAAAAATCAACAGAATTTATTTGTAAACCAGAAAAAGTCATAAGTGAAACTGTACATCGAGGTATATGTGATTGTATGTATTGTTCGTCAAATTTAGAAACTATTCGTATGCCATCTACCCAAACTGCCAAAGATTTTGTATTAAAGTCTCCATTAATTTTCTGGATGTTTTCTAATTTATTAAAGGGAATCCATTCAATGACCTCATCATATTCTGTAGTATTAAGTTGAGATTTTTTAATATAATCATCGATATCATTATTTCCACTTGTCCATCCAACAGTCGTTCTTGGAGGATCACATGTTTGACACCAAGCTGGAGAAGTGTTGTATTTCTTGCATTGTGCACATTGTCCGTCATAAGAAGATCTTTTACGACAAATACTATCATATATTACAGGTGGATGGGTTTTGTGTAAATCCAAATAATTTACAATCTTTAATAGACCGTACATATTTCTCAACCTGAGAATAAACATGATGGAATTTATGTAAGTATATAATGATAAAGATAATAAAGTTATATACATTAAAATACAAACTTTAACTTACTTCTTTTAAAAAACCAGCATGATTCTTTTGTAGACTAGAAAAGGTCATAAGTGCAACTGCGCATCGAGGTATACGTGATTGTATGTATTGTTCGTCACATATAGAAACTAATCGTATGCCATCTATCCAAACTGCTAAAGATTTTGTATTAAAGTCTCCATTAATTTTCTGTATGCTTTTTAATTTATTAAAGGGAATCCACTCAATAACCTCTTCATATTTTGTAGCCTCAAGTTGAGATTTTTTAATATAATCATCGATATCCTTATTTCCACTTGTCCATCCCTGTGCTGTTTTTTCGGGATCACATGGATAACAACAAGCTAGATAATTATTGTATCTCTTACATTGTGAGCATTGCCCTTGATCAGAAGATCTTTTATGATAAAACTCGTCAAATACTATCATATATTCACAAGTGGATGGGTTTTGCGTAAATCCAAATAATTTACAACCTTTAATAGACTGCACATAATTCTCAACCTGAGAATAAACATGATGGAAATTATGTAAGTATATAATGATAAAGTTATATGCATTAAAATACAAACTTTAACTTACTTCTTTTAAAAAACCAGCAGGATTCTTTTGTAAACTAGAAAAGGTCATAAGTGCAACTGCGCATCGAGGTATACGTGATTGTATGTATTGTTCTTCACATTTAGAGACTAATCGTATGCCATCCATCCAAACTGCTACAGATTTTGTATTAAAGTCTCCATTAATTTTCTGTATGTTTTCCAATTTATTAAAGGGAATCCATTCAATGACCTTATCATATTCTGTAGTATTAAGTTGATATTTTTTAATATAATCATCGATATCCTTATTTCCACTTGTCCATCCCCTTGTTGTTTTTTCGGGATCACATGTTTGACACCAAGCTGGAGAAGTATTGTATCTCTTACATTGTGCGCATTGCCCTCGATCAGAAGATCTTTTATGATAAAACTCATCGATTACTATCATATATTCACATGTGGATGGGTTTTGCGTAAATCCAAATAATTTACAATCTCTAATTGACTGTACATATTCCTCATACATTTGTAAACTAGTAAAAGACATAAGTGAAACTGTACATCGAGGTATACGTGATTTTATGTATTGTTCGTCACATTTAGAAATTAATCGTATGCCATCTATCCAAACTGCTAAAGATTTTTTATTATTAATTTCCTGTATGATTTCTAATTTATTAAAGGGAATCCACTCAATAACATCATCATAATTTGCAGCCGTAAATTGAACCTGTTTAATATAATTATCGATATCCCTATTTCCACTTGTCCACACTTGCGCTATTCCAGGGATATCACATGTTCGACACCAACCTAGAGAAGTGTTATATTGATTACAATATGAACACAATCCATTATTAGGAGATCGCTCATTATAAAAGCCATCAAATACCGTCATATATTCAGAGGTAGATGGGTTTTGAGTAAATCCAAATAATTTAACATCACCTGACTGTACATTATAAGCATTAAAATAAATGTAAATATAAATTTTGATTAATTGGTGTTGCGATATATTTATAAAAAATATTAGCTTACAATCTCTGAAAAGTCATCAGAATTTATAGATGAACTTGAAAAGGTCATAAGCATCACAGTGTACGGTAGTGTACGTGATTGTACGTATCGTTCATTATCTTCAGAAACTAATCGCATACCATCTTTCCAGACTGCTAAAAAGCTTGTATCTGTAAATAACCATATGTCAAAGATTGAAAATAATTTTGACCATTAATTTCTCCGTAACTAATTTTCTGTACGTTTTCTAATTTATTAAAGGGAATCCACTCAATAGTCTTATCATATCTTGTGGCCTCAAGTTGGAATCTTTTAATATAATTATCGATATCCTTATTTCCACTTGTCCATCCCTGTGCCATTCTTGCGGGATCACATTCTTGGCACCAAGCTGGAGAAGTGTTGTATCTCTCACATTGTGTGCAATTTCCGTAGTTCCGACTCTCTTCTGATAAATTCATTGTTAAATTAATGATTAAAAAACGATTAACTTTTTCGAGAGTTTTAGACTGAAATATGTATGTGCATGCACCCACTGTGCCAGGTTAGGTCGATACACAGTGTTACACGATATGCTGTGTAGCTACGTACGCATAAATTTCTTTTAAAACTTCTAGCGATGATTTCTTATTAAACTACTTGATTAAATTCAGTAAAAAATTTTTGAATTAGTCTATTTGTAGCCATAGGCTAGATGTAGCCGTACTATTAAATATAGTTTTTTTTTATAGAAAAATTGTGCAGCCTATTAATATTAGGGTTAGATTTAGTGTTAGGCTAGGTTAGGTTAGGGTTAGGGTTAGAGTTGGGCTAGGGTAAAATTGCGAGAGGAACATTTTTACTTAGTTACACAACAAGGGTTACCCTGGTAAAATTTTGGGTTATTATAGAATTATTGAAATATGGCTACATGTAGCCACGGCTACATATATCTTTTTCCAAAATTTTTTATTTTAATTCTATAGTATAGTTGAAATAAAATTTTATTGAATTTGGTTAGATAAGTCCTGAGTAATC